TCTGAGACTTGACCCCTTTCCTACCAAGCGCCTGTTCTACAATGAACATAGCAGTTATTAAAGAAAACCCGTTTATGCAAACTGGCAACAAAACAGAAATCAGAGGAATTGTATATATACCAGAGAGTACAGAGAAAAGAGGCTCTCCTGTTGGGAGCAAGGTAACCAAGCTCAACCAAAAGAGAATCCTAGATCTCTCTCAAGGGGATGTTCCCGTAAGTCTCTCCTTCGGCCAGCTGGGGATAGGCGCGTGATGGAGACTTCCAGCTCCTCCCATGTCTTCCCAGAGTCTTTTCCTTCAGCTACCTGAAGTAGAGTTGGCCTTTTCCATCTTCCCTCTTGAAGCGGGCATCCAAAAGTACCCAAAGTGACTCAAAGTTTGAAGAGAATTTGAAAAAGACTCAAGATGGTGAAGTTTTCTCACTCTCACCAGCTCTGATCTGCCCTTCATGCAGAAAACTATGGCCAAACAAGAGATTAACAGGGTAAATGGAGATAGTCTCAGGGGGAAGGCATTAAGATTGAGGAGGACTGGAAAGAGTTTCTTATAGCAGGTGGGCTTTTAACTGAGACAGGAAAGAAGCAAGGGAAACCAGGAGGCAGAAATGAGGAGAGAGAATTCCACAGAAGTGTAAAAAACTGTCCTTTGATATTTTCCATTACTGGAAGCAAAAAGACCACTTGACTCACTGGATTTGAAGTCAAAAGACCTGGGTTAGAATCCCAGCTCAGCTATTTACTGCTAATGTAACCTTAGGTATGTAACCTGGGCAGCTAGGTGGCACAGTGGATAGAGCTCCAAGCCTGGAGTCAAGAAGACTCATCTTCCTGAGTTCAAATCTGGCCTCAGACATTTACTAGCTGGGTGACCCTGGGCAAGTCACTTAACCCTGATTGCCTCAGTTTCCTCATCTGTAAAATGAGCTGGAGAAGGAAATGGCAAACCACTCCAGTATCTTTGCCCATAAAACCCCACATGGGGTCACAAAGAGTTGGACGTGTCTGAAAATTACTTGAACAACAACAACAGCAATCTTGAGTAAGTTTCTTTAGCACCCATTAGAATGTAAACACTGTGATGGCAGAGACCCTGTTTTTACCTTTCATTTTATCCTCAGTGCCTATCATAATGCCTAGCACATAATGCTTAATAAATGATTATTGACTGACTAACTCAAAGCCTCAGGTATCTTATCTGCAAAGCGAAGAGGTGGGATTAAATTACCTCTAAGATCTCTTGGGGCTCTGAATTGTATGATCCTACAAAGAATGTGCTAATAATAATGACGATGATGATGGTGATGATAGCTAGCATTTGTACAGAGCTTTAAGGTTTGCAAAGAACTTTATAAAATTATTTCATTTGATTCTCATAACAGTCTTGGATAGGAGCTATTATTATCCCCATTTTATAGATAAGGACACTGAGGCAGATGGAGGTAAATGACTTACCCAGGGTCATACAACTAAAAAGTGTCTGAGGCCAGAATTGAACATATATGTTCCTAACTCTGGGTCCAGTGCTCTAGCCACAGTGCCACTGTTAAATTTACATATATGTTCAGGCAAACCAATGAATAAAACTACAAATAATAGCAAGTCCTTCAAGGCACTGAAGTTTTAAGTGTGATGGGGGTGGACTGGCTTATCTTGGCACATCCCAGATAATCCCTGACTGGTTCCAGTCCAAATTACCACACAGAAGCTGGGGGCAAGCTTGTTTCGGTCATGATGACTCAGGGGTTTGTGTGGTGTGATGATGAAGAATCCTCTAATTGGCTTCTGAAGCCAGAAGAAATGATGACTCAGGGTGTGCTGAAAGGGGCAGCCCACCTCATTTTTGATCCCTTTCTTTTGTGGCTTCAAGAGAAGCAGGACTACTTTGAACTGCCTCCCCTAGAGCTGGGGGTTGGGGATAGCAGCTACCCTGGCTCCTGCTGAGCCTTGATGACAGTGATCACATAGCTGGTTGTCTGTGCCATTTTCTATTTCTTCCTAATGTTATGTGAAGAAGTATTTCAAGACCAAAGGGTCTAGGCAACCTGGAGTGTTCAGGACATCTGTTGTTGTTTGGCCTTCGTTCTTGAAGAGGACCATGACATCAGGAAGGTAATGCCATGACTTGCAAGTGAATTGGATTTAAGTGAGGGAGGGCTGTGCAAAGTCACCAGCCTCACTTTCTTCTCCAGAGCCATCTGTGTCCAGGGGCAAGATACAGATCAGGATAAATGGAGATGGCCCTGATGCAGTGGAAGACCTTGGCCTTTCTAAGTTAAGATCTTTCCAAGTTCTCATTTTGACTGAGGCAATGCCCATTCAGTGATTAAAGTTGATAAGAAACAAACCAAGGATTGAACGAGTTGTGGTATATGAATGTAATGGAACATTACTGTGCTATAAAAATTGATGAGCAGATGGACTTTAGAAAAACCTGGAAAGACTCATTTGAACTGGTGCTGAGTGAAGTGAGCAGAACTAGGAGAACATTGTACACAGTAGCAGCCACATTGTGTGATGACTGCCTTTGATAGACTTAACCCTTCTCAGCAATGCAAGGATCTAAGACAACTCCAAAAGACTCATGATGAAAAATGCTGTCCACATCCAGAGAAAGAAACATGGAGTCTGAATGCAGATTGAAGCATACTCATTGCTCTCTTTTGTTGTTGTTGTTGTTTTGTTTTTTCTTTCTCATGGTTCCTCCCATTGATTCTAAATCTTCTTCACAGCATGACTAATGTGAAAATATGTTTAATATGAATGTATATGTAGAGCCTATGTCAGATTGCATGCCATCTTGGGGAGGGGAAAGGGGAAGGGAGGGGGGGAAAATTTAAAACTCAAAAGCTTATGGAAGTGAATGTTGAAAACTAAAAATAAATAAATAAATTTTAAAAAAGAAAAGAAAAAGAAATGAGCCAAGGAATGGCCTCTTTTACCTACTTAAAAAAAATCAGTCTGGAAGGGGAAGACTTCAGCGTTTCTGGCTAAAACAAAAACAATTACTATTTACATCCATTCTGAACCATCAAGGCCTAAACGATGACCACTGACCTATAACTGGCCAATCAATGAGAGCCAGAGTGAATTGAGTTTAAGGCATGGTCCTTAAGAAAGAAATCTAGCAAACCCCAAGATATCTTGCTAGTTTCCAGTCACCAAAATTTATATTCCTTTGGCAGAATATCCATAGGTAAGGGTATGATACCCTGTGTGGACAGAGGGAAAGGAAAGGAAGGGAGGGGAAGGGAAGGGAAAGATGTTAGCTTAAGTCCTGCATCCCTGTAACCTCTGTCTCTTGGTGCCATTTCTGCCCTCTGGAATTACACAAATAAGCCTAATCCCTTTTTCAGATGGCAGCCCTTTAAATATTTGAAGATAGTTATCTAGGGGGCAGCTAGGTGTTACAGAGGATAGAGTGCTGGGGCCTGGAGTTGGGAAGATTTGAGCTGAAATCTGACCTCAGGCATTTTCTAGCTATAAGTCTGGGGAATTCACTTGAACCTCTGTTTGCCTCAGTTTCCTCATCTGTAAAATGGGGATAATAATAATCCCTACCTCACAGGGTTATTATGAGGGTCAAATGAGATAATATTTGTAAAGCATTTAGCATAGTGCCTGGCATTTATTATTGTTATTGTTCAGTTGTTTCAGTTGTATCCAAGTCTTCATGACCCCATTTTCTTGGCAAAGAACCTGAAGTGGTTTGCCATTTTCTTCTCCAGCTCCTTTTACAGATGAGGAAACTGAGGCAAACAGGGTTAAGTGACTTGCTTAGGGTCACACAACTAGTAAGTGTTTGAGACTGGATTTGAACTCAGGTCTTCCTGACTCCAGGCCTGGCACTCTATCTACTGTGTTACTTATCATAACATCATTCCTACTCTTAGGGGTATAGGAATGACAACCTATACCCCTAGAGGTTTTGGTGGGTTTGGCTTATCCTCTACCAATCCTAGTGTAAAACTCTGGTGTAAACCCTAGACAAGGTTCAACCCCCTAGTTCACGGGTATTTGGCCTAATCCTTGGTTAACTTTCCTAGTTGTTTTTTTTTTTTTCATTATTCCTCCTAAAACATCATTTCATAGCTAGGGGGATAGAATTTCCTGGACTGTGTCAGATTCCTTGGAGAATCCCCTCACCATCCGTGTCATTTTCCTCTAACCAACCTCTTTTTTTAGGTCCATGTTCCCTCTCCAATGTGGTGCTCAGATCTGAACCAGGTGCCCTCCAGATGTAGTTTGACCAGGGCAATCAATTAATTAATCAATAAACATTTATTAAACTCCTACTATGTGCAAGGCACTGTGCTAAGTGCTGGGGATACAAGAAGAGGCAAAAGACATTCCCTGCCCTCAAGGAGCTTACAATTGGATGGACAGGGGACAGGGAGATGATTCTCTATCCCCTTTGTTCTGGGCACTTGATAGTATAATGTGATGATACGTAAATTTTAAGCTTGCATGATGAACCTTTTCGGCAGTCATGTCACACTATTGCTCTCCGTCTCTAAATGCCAGGATCATGTTGGCATTTAAGTGCAGGCTCAGTCTACTCCAGGCCATACAGATGTGTGGTTTTTCTACAAACAGGGAGGACCCAGGATGACTATTCCGACTTTATTGAAGGGAGAGAAAACAAATTCGCCAAGTAATATAGGGGTGTAAATCAAAGAAACTGGGAAGAAGAGAGAAAGAGAACTCAAATTTCTGCAAGTGTAGGCACAGCCTTGCCCTGGAGGGTAGGTGGGTAAGGAGGGAGAAAGTTGCTGTCTCTCGCCTGTTCTCTGGGCCTTCATCCTCCTTTATACAGTAGAATCTCTCCTTCAGCAGTTTTGAGGCCAGTGAATAGACACTATCTATGTCTATGCTTCTTTTCTGTTAATTACATAAGGCAAGTCCAACCTAGGCCTTGTCTCATGCTATTGGCTGAGCTTTGCAAGGTCATGTGGTGTCATAGAACATTGGACCAGGCCATGGGCAAACACCTAGAACTTTCTGAGCTGCTGTTTCTTCATCTACAAAATGGAGAGGATAGCTTATCCCTGCCCAACAAGGTAATTGGGGAGAGCCAATGAGATAATGGATGTGAAAGTACTTTGTGCGTGCATATATATGTGTGTGAATGTATGTATATATGTGTATATATATATGTATATGTATATGTACATGTATATTCATGCATTACTATTATTATTGCTAATGATGAGATGAGTCTCTTGATCAATTTGATGAGGTCCTAGGGAGGTGAGCCTTTGTTTGGGGCTTTGATTATCTCTTGTTAATGAGGGTTGGATTTAGAAGTGGAAAGAAGATTTGGTGCCAAGAGGATATGAGTTCTGTTACTTTCTACAGCTTTGTGACCTCAGGTAAGTGCCTAAACCCCTTTTTAAAGGGACTGAAACTTTCCCCTTTGGTGACATTATTCTTTTAAGGGTATTGAAACCAAACCATTTGAGGACAAGAAGGGTTAAAAAACAAACAAACAAAAACCTGAGTTCAAATCTGGCCATAGAAATTTATTAACTGTGTGGCCCTGGGCAAGTCCCTTAACCTCTGCCTGTCTCAGTTTCCTCATCTTTAAAATAGAGATAATAATAGCATCTACCTCTCAGGTTATTATGAGGATCAAATGACATATTTGTAAAGTGCTTAGCACAGTGCCCAACAGGTAATAGACACTTCCTTTCCCTTGTTCCCTAATAAAAAAAAAAAAACAAAACAAAAACCAAAACCAAAACCCAAAAAACAAAAAAATAAAAAACCAGAATTTGTATAAAGGTAATATATATTCCCTATTGCTTCTCAAAGAGATTGAATTATTATCCTTGTCTGTTCATTGCAGGCCAGGAATACATATTTTTTATTTAAATGCAAAGTGTGAGCCTTGAGTTTTTTGGGTTTTTGTTTTTTTTTTTTTACAGGAATGGAGTCTAAGACCGAAAGAGAAAAGCTAAAATGAGGTGGGTTGTGATTTTCCCAGAGAGAGAATCTTGGTAAAGGCAAAAGCCATAAAGACATCATAGAGAAAAGAATCTTGTTGAATGCTTAGCCTTCAAGACTGACCCTGGATCCGTGTCAGCTTAGCCCTCTGGTTCTGGGTAACTGGTAAGAATTGCTATTTGTGTATATGTCATAACCCCTTCTTGAAGCAGCTAGGTGGTGCAGTGGATATAGCTCTGGGCCTAGAGTCAGGAAGAGCTGAGTTCAAATTTGACCTCAGACACTTGCTAGCTATGTGACCTTGGGCAAGTCACTTAACTTGTTTGCTTCCATTTTCTCAGCTGTAAAATGAGAATGATAATATGACCTACCTCCCAGCATTGTTGTGAGAATCAAGTGAGATAATATTTATAAAGCACTTAGTATAGTGCCTGGAACATAGTAGGCCCTTAATAAATGCTTATTCCCTCCCTCCCCCCATTCCCCAGAATTGTAAGCTCCAGGATGGCAGGGATGATGTAATAGCTAAACTTTGTATCTCATCCAGCATCTAGCACAGTGCTCTGCATGTCATAGTTACTTAACAGATTTTTAAAAGTTGAATTAATACTTTATAAATGAGGTTCAGTAGGTCCTGGCCCCAAACTAATTCCCTGATGCATCTCAGAGACGCATCTGGGGTGGGAGACATCATTGTTGTCTCTGAGTAGGCTAGCCTGGTTCCTCAGGGCCGCCCAAACTTCCTTGTATTTTATCTTCTTTATAACTGTCCTTTGCTCCTATTACATGTTGCTGCCTCCACTATCTAGCATCATTCATTACCCTTCCCTAGAAAGGGAGTTGGAACTGAAACCTTAGCCATCATCTTTAAAAATATATTTAACTGTGGGAATAATTGGTCTTCCCCCCAGGTGCAGATGTCTATTCTTTGCTGCCTCAGGGGAGATGATTCTTTCCATCATTCCCGATAGAGGTGGTAGGGAATAAGAGGAAGAAGAAGGAAGAGAAAGTGTTGGCTTGTGTCTTATAGAAAGAAGTAAAAAGGAGACTCAGGGAGCCATAGTTTCATTGCTGGATTCTTGGCTTACTAGGATCAGAGGTCACCTTGCAAAATGCATTTAACCCACCCTGCCTCAAAACCAGTGCTAACAGGACCCTAGTAGGATAAAGGTTAACCTCTTCACTTTCTACTGTCATCTTGATACTTCCTTCTATCTAGACCAGTCCTAGGGAAGTAACATGGAGACCATTGTATCTTTCTCCCCTTTCCTCACTAACTAATATCAGAACCAGTCTACCTGGGTGTCTATGCCCAGAGGCTGATTACAGGGTTGGCCGGGAACCTGAGTCTCCCCTGGGATTTTTCAGCACAATGAATCATTGAGCTGCTGAAGGACAAGCAGGAAAACATGAAATGATTGCCTGGGCCTGTGTTCCACTCCCCCCCAAAAAAGAATTTTTTTTTCTTTTTTTCCTTTTAGATTTCAGACTTGACAACCATCAACACAAACATTTCCATATGCAACAAACAAACAGAATAGAAGGATTTTCTTTGGAATCATGAATCTATATTACATACAGATTGTTACTTTTTAAAAGTAGATATTAGATTTAACATGGTAATATTAATGTTGCCCTCCTTATCTGTGTCCCCCTTTGGAAATTTCTTTTGTTGTCTTACGTGTATTTTTAAAATGTTTCATGAAGTCTCTTCCTCTCTTCCCCTCCCTTCTCCTCCCTTCTCCCCTTTTTTGGCTTTTCCTGTCTCCTCTCCTTTCTCCTTTTCTCTTCTCTCTACTTTTGCCTTCTCTGTTCATCTCCTCTCTCCTCTCTTCTCCCTTTAAATTCCTTCTTTAAATCCTCTTCTCCCTTTACTTCATTACTGCCCCTCTGTTCTTGCACATTGCTTGGGCCCCTTTAAAATCCCTTTAAACCTCACCGCATCCCCTTTCCTTATCAGGAAATAAGGACTTGAACCGTTCATTCTGACCTCTACTGGGACTCACTCTTCATTTAGGCATTCCCTTTTACTGGAAATATTCAAGCAGAATTTGGATGACCACTTCTCAGGAATGCTGCAGAGAGAATTCTTGCAGTGTTTGAGAAGTTGGACCAGATTCAGTTCAACCATGTAACAAGTATTTATCGAGCTTGTATTATGTGCAATGACCACTGTTAAGCACTAAAAACCTCCATCATTGTCCTCAAGAACCTTACAGTTTAATGGGGAAAGAGAAAAAAAATTATACAAAAGTAAGTAGGCTATAAGGTAGAATATTTTTAAAAAATAATGTTTTATTTTTTCCAATTACATGTAAAGACAAATTTTAATATCTAATTAAAAAAATCTTGACTTCTAAATTTTCTCCCTTCCTCCGTCCCTCCCCTTTCCCCCTCCCTAAGATGGCAAACAATTTGATATAGGTTATGTATGTGCAACCATGTAAAACGTATTTCCATATTAGTCATACTGTGAAAGAAGAAACAGACCAAATGAAAAAAAAAACCCACAAAAAATAAAGTGAAAACAGTATGCTTCTATCTGCATTCAGACTGTATCAGTTCTTTCTCTGGATGTGAATAGCATTTTTCTCAAGAATCCTGTAAGGAAAAATATGATGAAAGCATAGAGAAGTTTAGAAAAAAAATTACCATAAGAAATTTAAGTGGGGGTAGATATCAGAAAAGGAGGAATCTGAGCTGGGCTTTGAAGGGAGAAATGGATTTCACCAGTCAGAGATGTGGAGGGGCATGCATTCCAGGCACGGGAGAATGGTTTTGGGGAATGCATGTACAGGACATGTTATACAGGATAACATTTGGGCAGAGGCAGCTAACAGTACAGTAATGAAAGGAATAGCATGAAATGAAGCTGGAAAAGGTAGGATGGAGTCTGACAGTGTAGGACCTTAAACGCTTAGCTACTGAGTTTGTATTTTGAAGCCTGTAGCAAAGGGGAGCTGTTGAAAGTTGCTGATGACCTCTGAAGTCCTTTTCAGCACTCCGCGTACAAAACACTAGCTGGAGAGGACCCTCCTGGATGTTTTAGGTATAGCCCTTGTGTATCACTTCATTGTCGTGGCAGAAAGCTTCTCATCACAAGAAAGAAGAGTGCCTCTGATTTTTTGCTGTTCTAAGCATTGCCTGACTCTTTTCCTCATTTTGGAGTCTCCTTCTTTCCCCCCAGGTAATGGCTTCTGACAATTTCACCCTGTCTCTTCCTGACATCAGATTAGTTAGTTCTGATTCTTCTTCCCTTCATCTTTCCTTAATAATATTTAAACAGCTTTTTGGAATTGTAGAAAGATGGTCAAACTTCTTTACATGTTTGTGTATTTTTTAAAATGCCCTTCTGAAATAAAAAGTCCAATTATTTAGTTGTCAGGGTTTAATTCAATTTCCTTTGTGTTTCATTTAATTCAATTTCTGTAAGTAGTGTGGTTTAGTGGAGACATTGTGTCATTATGTATTTTTATGTACTGATGTCATTGTGTATTATATCATTATGTATTTTCTCCACCAACAGATGCTAATAATATAACTACTATTATGTGGTGGTCCATGACATTTTTAACCTAAAAAAAAAGACTTCTTATAATTCCTTTATAAGAAAGTTGTGAACGACTATTCTGGGTTGTTCTCTTGCCCTTTCCTTAATCAAATTTTGCCTATGACATGCCCGAACCCTTTAAAATCCTGCTCTCTGCTAAATAACAATGACCAGCAATGGGATTTTTTCATAATCATAACTGATACTTATAGAGAGATAGTGGGTCTTTGTGAATAGAGAGCTAAGCTTGGAGTTGGGAAGACGGGTTCAAATACAGCCTCAATACTGGCCGTGTGACTCCATCATGTCATTTAACTTGTGAAGGCTCTAGGCAACTCTCTTAAACAAAGTTGAAGAGAAGGTGCTGATCTTCATTAGCAGAGGGAATTTCTTCACCTGGGAGTTTCTTACCTCAGTGGTACCAAACTCGAGCAGAAATGAGGGCCACTAAATCATACGCCAGGATCCCTGTGGGCTACATGTTGACTTAGAAAACCATGTATTCATGTTATGATGTTTTATTGTACTTTTATTTATTTTGATAAATATTTACCAATTATATTTTAATCTCATTCTGGTCACACTGGGGTGTGTTGTGGGACAAATGTGTGTGTTTGACACCTCTGTCTTATACCAGCAAAATCAGAGGTCCAGATGAGGGGTGGGGAGCCTGCAGCCTTGAGGTCACATGTAGCCCTCGTGGCCCTCTAGGTCCTCAAGTGCGACCCCTTGACTGAATCCAAGTTTTACCAAACAAATCCTTTTATTAAGGGAATTTGTTCTGTGAAGTTTGGATTCAGCCAAAGGGCTGCGCTTGAGGACCTAAAGGGCCGCATGTGGCCTTGAGGCTGCAGGTTCCCCACCCCGGGTCCAGACTCTATCACTACCCCTTAAAAAAAAAATAGTCCTAGCTCTGCCATTAATAAGCTGTAGGACTGTGGATAAATTATTTGACTTCTCTGAGTTTCAGTTTCCTTACTAGTAAAAAGAAGTTAGTCCCTGGGTAACGTCTGAGGCTCAAATGAGATGTGTAAGAAAATACTTTGAAAAATGTAATACGGTGTACAAACGTGAGGTATTTTTACTAAGCACCAATTGTGTGTTTACTCTTGCTCAAGGTGTACGTGGGGATGGGGGTAAGGGTGAGCAAAACTCCTTGCTCATTCCCAAGCATATGTTTGAGTACTGCCACAGCAGTCATGTGATTGTGGGCAAGTCACTTCACCACTCAGAGTCTCATTCCATCATCTGTAAAATTGAGATAAATGTCATAAACTAGTTACCTTGCAGGATTATTGTAAAGAAAGAGTTTTGTACCCTGAAAAGGCCTATATTAATGTGAGATAGTATTAGGTGGAGAGGTAAGACACTAATCGGAGAACAATTCCAAAATAATCTCTTGGGATCTCATGTTCCTACTTCTTTTCTTCCTTCTCCATGCGTACGACATTCCAGATATTTGACAATCTCACCAGCTCTTTGTTGGAGGTGCAAGGGCAAAGTCCCGTTGATTTGTGAGGCAATATGGTCGCATAAAGGCCAGTGAGGTAGAACAGTGGATAGAGCACCAGGCCTGGAGTGAGAAAGACTCATCTTCCTGGATTGAAATCTGGCCTCAGACACTTCCTACCTGTGGGACCTTGGGCGAACCACTTAACCCTGTTTGCCTCCATTTCCTCATCTGTAAAATGAGCTGGAGAAGGAAATGGCAAACCCCAATATCTACACCAAGAAGACCTTAAATGGAGTCATGAAGAGTTGGACACAACTGAACAACAACATGGTTGCATAGAATAGAAAAAGCACTAGGTTCAAATCTCACCTCTTAAACTTACTAGGTGACTTTGGACAAGTCACTTAGACTCATCTGTAAAGTTAGGGGGTTGAATTAGCTGTCTGAGCTCCCTTCTAGATTTATGGTACTCCCCTTCTAGCCTCCTACTTTAGTTCTGTAGCTTCTGGGCAATGTTACAATCCGGCACCTATGGTATCTCTTTCTTCTCCCCAGGGGCCCTCTCTGGAAAGCCTTTTCCTCTTGGCTCTGCTCATCCTTATATTTCTCTCCCTCACTGGCTCTTCCATCCTTCCTCTACACATGACTGGCTGCAGTCTTTGTTGGGTCCTCACTCACCAACAGGCACATGAAGAGAAGATTGCACAGTTCAGTTTGACTTTTGCCAAGTTTGCTTGGGGCTGCACGACCCTGATTTGAAACAGACTTTTTTTTTTCTTTTGCCACTTAAGAGAAGAACATTCTTCCAAGATCCTGGGGAGGATCTCCTTAGAGCTTTGGGAGAGAGGAGTGTGGGGATGAGATTTAGGAATAACAGTTTTTGGACTTTTGTGATTCTCTCTCCTCCTTTTTTTTTTTTTTTCAAGTGTGTGTGGGGAGTGCTAACACCCTTTCCTCCCATCCCCAGTTCTCAGTTGCCTGCTGTGACCTTAGTGCTAATTCCACTAAGGTCCAGTAGTCTTGTATTCTATATGCAGTTCTCCAACTTTTTGGACTCTTTTTGGATATTTTTTTTTTTTAATTAATTAATTTTTAGTTTTCAACATTCACTTTTTTTTTTTTTAGTTCGGCAATCAGGGTTAAGTAACTTGCCCAGGGTCACACAGCTAGTTTGTGTCAAGTGTCTGAGGCTGGATTTATGCTCAGATCCTCCTGACTCCAAGGCTGGAGCTCTATCCACTGCACCACCTAGCTGTCCCTCAATGTTCACTTTTATAAGATTTTGAATTCTAAATTTCTTCCCCCTTCTTCCTCTCCCCTCTCTCCAAGATGGCATGCAATCTGATATAGGTTATACATGTAAATAATCTTATTAAACATATTTCCACATTAGTCATGTTGTGAAAGAAGAATCAGAACAGAAGGGGAAAACCACAAGAAAGGAAAAAAGAGAAAGAAAATAGTGTGCTTTGATCTACATTTAGACTCTATAGTTCTTTCTCTGACTGTGGATAGCATTTTCAGGACCCTTTTAAATTCTTGAAAATTATTGGCAACCCCTCCCCATCACCAAATTTTTGTGTATTCAGCTTATATCTATCAGCATTTACAATATTAGAAATGAAAATATTTAGTATTATTATGAAAATAGTTTTGATCTTGGGGACCTTCAAGTTTTTTCAAGTACTGCAGGAATCTATGAGTAAACAAATTTACCTCTTGAATCCTGAAATGTAACTTACATT